CGAGATAACGTTTATTCGTGCGAGTACTTACGCGTACAATATACGTTGATCTGTATGTTTTTTTTACATATACAGAGATACGTGGGTCACATTAGGTGCGTCGAGAAAGGTTACCGCTCACTGACTGCTCACTGAGCGGCGACGCCTCCGGATGCAGCCTTTGCGCGACCTACAATGGCGGCCACGCACTTACATATAATCAAATTTCATGAATTCGTAACGTTTACACGGAGTAATCGAGTACCATTCTTGTTAATTAGAATCGAGACGTTCTTGGCACTTAATGCTTCAAGCGTGAAATTTCAAACGCAGGCTCAGGACGCATAAAATCTTGAAATACCCGCGCAAATTCTATGTGATAAGAAATTGGATGCTAATCAGACCCAATCTGAACACATTCTAATTTCAGCACTGGCACCAGCGAGTCCTTAATATTTTTCAAATTGAAATATGCGGTTTACGAGTACATGGCCGCCACGGTATGCGTTCGTACGTTGCGCGATGCGATTTATTTAGTGTAGGAATTAATTCTGTGTATTTGTATTCAACAATTGACAGTTCTAGTTGAAACAAATATACCTACTTGTTATTTTGGTACCAAGCTTCTAAGTCCTCAAGCTGATCTCGGTTGCAAAGGATCTATACACGTAATCTAAGAGACTTATTTATCTGTATAGATTCATTACAGAGATGAATTCATGGGGATCAAGTCGAGATCTTGAAAGATTGGATCGTTAAACTAATAAAATGACAAGTAAGCGCTTCTACTTAAACTAGAGTTACAAATAATCGATTATAAAGACACAGAACTAATTTCTACACCTAATATAGGTTGATTCGCGTAGAACTGCGTGCTGAGATTATGTTTCGTCGGTCGGTAACCAAAGAGATTATATAGACAGAGTCGATAAAACGGAGAAAGTAAAACGCGAATAGTAAGAGAGAAAAGATTGAGTGCCTGTCCTTTTCTAACAACGCATGCATAGTAGAAACATAGGTACTCTTTCCATTTATTCTCTCTTTCTTCGCATCTACTATTTCCATTTAGTCTTCCATTTTATCTACATAATCTCTTCGTTGGTAACCCGTAACTCGTCGTCATCTGGCGGACTCAAGCGCATTTAAATCAGCCACGCGATTCTCCGCGACGTCTAAGCACGTAAACCCGTTCGAAATCGTGATTCAAACGGTTCCAACGCAAAACAAGTGTTAAACTTTTCTTTAACTGTCTCGAACGCGTCTCTCGAGTCTGTGATCGCGTGCGATTCGCTCGTCAAATCGTTATCGTGCTCCGAACAATCGTGAAACTCGAATCGCAGGCGAGCGCCATTTCGCGCCAATTCGCTTCTCGTGAATCGTGTCTTGTGCCACCGAAAAACCACTTGACAATTCAACGGAAACTATACAGTAAATATTTGAAGCAACGAACATCAAAGTAGTAACGCTTTAAAATCTTAACAAACAATCCTCATCGAAAACTTAACGTTTCGTTTTGGCATCCGCGATTAAGCTAAAGGAGTGGCGTGACACAACTGTCTCGTTCGGAGTTCGACGATGGAGGTTAGTGGACAGTTTCGCCGATAAGGTACGTTTTTAAACTTTTAAGATAAAAATAACATTGAAATCCAATTCGAAAGGTTACGAAAGGTATCTCGTTGGGTGGTTACCAAATATTAGATTATGTAGACGTATTTGAGACTGAGTTTAATCGTTGGTAGAGATATAGCGAGATGGAAACAAAGACAGCACATTTAATTGTTGAGGGTTGAGATCCCAGAGACGATTCTGTACACGTTTGGACATTGTATAGCGCGTTACTAGCCTGAGTGTGTCAATGGGAAAAAACCTCGCTATATTTCCACCGAGTACACTTCATTTTCAGTCTACAATTGAATTTTAAGCGAACTTATGATTTATTTTTCTCGTTGGTTTCGCTTATTTTTCATGTTTTCTAATCTCGTTTGCGTCGAGAATGAAATTTCTACAAATGCCAATGCGATTGAGACATGGTAGAGATAGTTGTGCCGATCTCCTTATTACCGACCGAGTAAATCTTTAAATTCTCTCGTCGTATGAAACGTTCAGCGTATAAATTTCACATCACATTAGCCGACACACTATGCACATACTGCGAGACGGGTTTACGGGCGCTCACGATTACAATTACTCGAAATAACGTTACACTATTGTGTATATTCATTTATGCCGAAGCGCAATTACTACGTCGTGTAAGACTTTGCGTCTGTGTAAGTTTTGCAAATGTGTAATTATCTAGCTGATGATGATTGCAAGATTCGTATTCGCTACTCCCCTCTCCGTCCCTTTTGGCAAGAACCGTGTCGCGTTTTCATGGTCCGTCTACGATCGTACTTCAGACGAAATTCCTGAACAAGGGTATATTCGAAACGCTATTGACTAAAACGTGTAAATGAACGAGGAGATAGAAGGATGACTCAGTGAAAAAAGAAGAAGAGTAAAGAAAGCGAAGTTATAACGAATTTAGAAGCGATTATTCTAGCAGATATTTGAAAGGAAACAGATTCGATTAGGTACGGGGCACGACCAATCGTGGCGTGTCAGTAGTCAGTCAAGGCGGCCATCTTTGAGTTAAGGGGTGAAAGTATATTAAGAGCCCAAGAATTAAGTGTTTATAATATTTTTTTTACGGAGAAGAATTTATATAATGTTCCTTTAACTTTTGGAATAATTTAGGTATGTTTTAAGCTGTACTTGGTAATTTTTCTGATTAATTTCGCACATAAATCTTTGAGATATTGCGTTTTCTTTTAAACAACATTATTTTCAATTTGTGGGAACTCGAAAACCACTTGACCAATCGTTTTCAGACTTTGTATGCCTTTAATTTATTTAAATTCCTGGAATATGATCTTCGAATTAGAATGATATAGTTGTTTGAAGTATGTTTTTTATTGTAAAATCTGCCCCAAGAATGGTGAACATTGATTCCTTTTCTTTAAGAACTCTTAAAACGTTCAATTTTCAATTTGTTTGGTCACAGTTTAGTTCACACTCTTACAAAACATGTTCATAATATTGAAAACATTACCAAGTGTATCTAAAATAGTCTCAAAGTTAAACAAATTAAAAAATATTTTCCTCTGCAAAAGTACACATAATATTTGGCCTTCTAATGTAGTTTCCTTCCTTAAACGATCGCTAACGAAAATTCGAAGGAACACGAAAGCTACTAAGCAAAGGCACGAGGACGAGTTCCACTTTTGAAGATCGCGAGGGAAGTAGGAATCAGTCAGTCACCGAACCAGGATTGGAATCCTGGAATCATTCGTTAATTGGACTATCTTATCGATTGAGCTATCCAGGTTATCGACAGATCCCTTCTCCCGAAGTCAACTGCTAGAAAATGCCTACCGCCTACTGGACGACGAATGTGGGGTGCTTTCCAATTGCTTAAAACAATCCTATAGTGTAGTGTTTTGTGCACGACCCAATTGGAACAAAAGAACAATCACGATGTCAGATAGGATTATTTTTCAATCCAATGGCACTTTGTATTTTTTAATTCATAGTAAAATTTTCTATCGCCTGCAACGCTGTAGCTCCTGACCTAGCCATTTCTTAGCTTCTTGGTATTCATCTTCTCGAAAGGGTAAGCGTTGTACTTAGAAAAAGATCTGTCTTATCTAATATAATATAATTATTTCAAAAGTGTTGTGTCCACCTAAAGATATTGCAATTGAAGAGCACCCGTGGTCATCCCAAACCAGCGAAATGAAAAACGTTCGAAACAAGACTAAACGTAAAGGCACGAGGGCGAATCCCATTTCTGAATAATCTCTAGGGTTGAAAACGAATCTCTCGTTCATCGGACTGGGCTACATCTATCGAATGCTTTTCTTCTCTCCGAGGTTTAAGATTCCGATTCATCGATACGGTTCGTGGACGATATGATCGTAAAAAATGCCAGATCGCTGAGAAAACGTGAAATGTGTCGATGATGGCGCGCTCAAGGCTCGAAGTAGAGTCAGGAACAGAGAGGGAGGGAGCCAGATAAAACAAAGCCGCGCGAGCAGACGTTCGCGCACCGTGTGTTGCGCAGAAAATTTGTTTCAAGCCGAGCGAATTGTATTAACTACGCGTACATTTCACGAGTGAGTCTCTCACTTGTAATCATTCTTGATCCACCGTCTTCTCGTGATCGTCGTTTATTATAATCGTCCTCTAAATTATCATCCATGTGATCATCCTCACTATATAATCGTCGGCGATGAAACCGCGACGTGTCTTCGTCAATGTCTTCGTCTTCTCCGTTCTCCCGTTTCCTGATCGTATCGATTACTCGAACTTCAAGGTTTCGAACTCCGTTTAAGTACACCACAGCACGATGACCAAACGAAAACAACAAATGTCACCCGCGAACATCTTCGATATACTTCGATATACTCTTTCTCTCTCTCTAATTCTTCCAGCGTGTTGGCGGACCGCTGTGAAACCATGTAAAAAATCCAATATCGCGGATAGAATTTACGTGTACCGGCTCGTATTAATTAGAGATGAAACGAATCGCTGATTTTGTGGAAATGCGGCATATATACTCTAGCTCTCACCGTTAAACGCGTAGGTCTTCGTTTTATTAACGTCGTCGTCGTCGTCGTCGTCGTCTCGTGAATATGATTTCGTTTCATCGTGTTTGTGTGTGTGTGTGTGTGTGTGTGTGTGTGTGTGTGTGTGTGTGTGT